CTCTTCCCCCTGGCCTATCCCCAGTATAACCGAGCTCCTGCCCTCCTGCCCTCTGCTTGCTGCTGGCTTTCCCTTTTGCCCTCTTTGGCTTCTTTTTTTTTTTTTTTCCCGCTCTCTACGCGCATTCCCCATACACCCACACGTCCAGTGGGGAACTGTTACCTGGGTAATACGGGTAGGTCAACTCTGTTCCAGACCTTTTGTTCCCCTCCTCTTTCCTGGCGGGTCTCTGCAGTGCCGTCTCAGCAGCTGATTGGTGGGGTTTAGTTCATCCCATGCTCCCAAGCTCTTCCTCTTTGCTCCATACCTTTCTTATCCGCAGCGCACAGATATCCATCCCACCAAAACCCCTTCTACTGGTAACAGCAGCAGGAAAGCAAGCAGCAGCAACAAACACCAACTCCAGCTGGTTGAGTGACTTGCCTTCGAACCAGAGGCAACAGAAGCAATCTTGAGTGCACAGAGCAAGACTTTCGACTTTGCATACCAACAGACCAACCAATCGTAGCTGCGGGCCTTTCATTGGAGTATCCTTTGGTTCGTCGCCAACACGGCGTGGGGGATCAGGTTGCAGTGGAGCGAGCGACTGGTTAGCAGATCATAGGGAAGGTGGACACAGAAGCCATAATTTTCGGGGGGCCGGCCAACGATCCAACGATCTGCGAACCATTTGCCGAACACCCTGACCGGATAGTCTGCTTCTTTTTCGGCACACCCCACCCCATACCTGACTTACAGATCGTCTGTAGAAAAAAAATAAAAATTTGTGGGTAAACCAACCGACCCGTTGTCTATTTTTTCATGTTCGCTCACATCTACAAAGGGATCCACAAACGTGCGTTCCAACCTCCTCTGTTGGCGAGATCGGAAGAAAAGAAGAGAGAAAGGGAACGGGGTTTCCGCTTGTCGTTTTTTTTCTTCCCACGCCTTCCTCGGAGCAACGCGGCCTCCCGGACAGCAAACGCAGAAAAACTCACAGGAGCCGGATCTGAGGTGTATTTTTGTGGCTCACTGGTTTTGGATTACTGGAATTGAGAGGGAAGTCTGGTCAACGATAACTAAGAAGAGTAATCCTCGGGGTAGAGCTGCAGGGATCCGGGGATAAGCCAGAGGTCAATCGTGGAGAGAGGCAAGGAGAGACTTAATAAAAGAAGGAAACAAGGTTGGCCTTGAGATTTGGTGTGCCCTTCATATCGTATCTCTGGCATCTTTGGCCTGTGAGCCACGGTGGTGTCCATTAGACCGGAGATTCAGCCCTACTGTTTTCCGGGGGTTGGTCTATCACGCTCGGAAAAGGAACGCGGATAGGATATAGAGTTGTCGAGGCCTTTTTGGTGGTAAGGGGGTTTTTATTTTATCTTTTTCCTTCTTAACGTGCCCCGTTTCTCCTCTGGATGCCACTGGCCACTTGGGCAACTGGGAGGCGCCCCATCCCGAAGATATTAGCACTCTATTCAACCTACATTTAGGGTCTCTTAGCTGTTAGCGCCGCTTCTCGCCCTAGTCTCTTTCCCGCAAGTTTCGCTCATCGTATCATTTATCATTCGCTTAGCTATACACTACCGTATACAGCAGAATATTTCCAACGCTAATAGTCCTCCCAGAATTAATCTTTTGGAATCACATCCCCGAAGCCCCATCTTCTGAGTTTTGTGGGTAAGGGCATCTCTCTCCCCCATCTCTTTCGATCTCCGCAGGTAACAGGGAGAGGGATCATTTGGGGAAAAGGCTTCAAGTCTGACTTAAATATTTCTAACTAGGTCGATCCCCATTGCTGCCCTGGCTGCGCTACTAACCGATTAGTTTTTGCAGCTGGATTGTGCGAAGAGGGGTCGATACCGTTTCCCCGAACCCTGAGATTTTGATTTTTTTTTTGCTACGCTTGGGGGATATAGGTTCTCGTTTGAAAACCAGATGACCGATTCAGCCCACCGAAGCCGGCCACGATCATCCTCTGGCCAGAGGCGGAGATCTAGGTCGCCCTCCCGGTGTCCGAAGCTGACCACTTCCTCATCCTATCCGTGTATTCCCCTCCTGGCTGGTAGAGCGGCTGCTTCAAGCCCGGCCACAGTAACTTCAGCTGTTGCATTTGGATCCACCAGCGCAACGTCTGCTTCACCCAGTCCCATTCCTTGGTTACACAGTGCTGAGACAATTGAGGACGATAGCCCTCGGACACCTGGGTCTATACTGGAGCGGCCCTATTCAGGGTTTCCGTGGGGCCTTCATTTTAAGGAGCAGCCCCAGACAAGCCCAGTTATTCTGGACAGTGGGGTGCAAGCCTCCGCTGGAGAACTCACAAGCGCTAAAGCCAGATCACCTGTCCCGCCTCACCCCCCGTTACTCTATACCAAGTCGGACCCAACACACAGTGCTGTGAGGACCAAAAGGAGCCCTTCCCGGGCTTCACCAAAGTCATCATTGAGGCTGGAACTTCCACCGCCCCCTCATATGGTTGGTGATTATGGGCTTGCTCTTTCGCGCACCCAGCAGGACAAAAGAGCTGAGAGTGAAGGTGTGTATACAATTGCCCAAGAAAACCATCGCCCGAGACCATCATTGCTTGGAATTGCTTTTCCCACTACTCCCGACACGAGTGTAAATAGTATGCCTGTTATTTGTGCTGGGATTAGTAGGGAAGCGAAAAGAGCGGGGCATATCGATTTTAGGGGTGGTATTGGGCCGAACCATGAGGTTATTGGGGCGGGCGGCGCTACAGCGGCACTACTGGCCGCGAATCCGCATCTGGCTCAGGGCGGATTGGCTCCTCTTACACCGCCCGATGATAATGGAATTATCGAATGGCGGGGGGAAGGGATGTCCGAGTTACTGGTCCCAACAATTCCGGTTTGTCTAGCGAAGGATCCCGCCTGTGCCGCGGTATGTGATAATGAGGAAACAAAGCCGGCTCTACCGGGAGGAACTCCAACTGGAAGACGAATAGAGGTATTGAAGAGCCTAGAGGAGACTGAGAGAACAGCTAGAATGATGTCTGGAGAATCCACCGGAGCGACTGAAACTGGGCGGGAAGCCATGGATGAAAGAGAGGATGCCTCTGCAGATAGATCGGAGGACAGTAGTGATAACGAAAGCACGGGCCATGAAGATATTGTTGAAGAAGGGTGGCTAAAGGGCGCTATGACCTCACTTTGTTAGTACTTTCTTTAATAGCCTAACTTGCTTTGTCGTGGCTAATAGGGGAGGGCAATTGTTCCTGGGATAGTCGATTGCGCTCTTTCCGTGCAGATGACTACAGAGGCTGTTCGGATGTTATCTTACACCCTTCCCTGTCCTTTACCCACAACTTCCATAGATTCGGCAACCCCGACTCCTATTCCTAGCAATCTAAGTTCAAACCCTGATAGACTTCCAGCATCCGCCGCCGCCGCGCCCGGCGTTGCTGCGGCAGCTGGCCAACAATTCTCACCGGCCATCACTGCTAGATGTCATTCTCGAGCACAGGCGGGCAGCGGATCTTCAACTCCCAATGGGTTGATTGGGGCGGATGATGGAATAACAACTGCACTGCACACGCTAACGAAAAACATCCAAAGACGTTATTCCAATGACGGAACAAAGAGGGTTTATATTCACGTTTCTCATGCCATATCACCTGGTATTCCACTTAATAGGCTTCCTTCTACCCCCCCAACCAACGGGTGTGTCGGTAGTCCTGGTGGCTTTATTGGTGGCGGATTTGATATTTCTCCCGGAGGGTATGCGGGCGGAGGAGGGGGAGGGGGAGGTTACTTTGCACCTACTGTTTTTAATAGTATTGTTGTTGCACCCGAGAGTATCCCCACTGCTCCTAATATGTCGTTTCATCGCACGCATACGATCCCACCGCCGAATCCCATATTACCGCCATTCAGTCTTCACATGACACTCCTTGAGCGATATATCCCACCAACCTCAAACGCCGAGGATCTTAGCATGTTTTCTACACAATCATCCGTGATTCTTGACCGATTGCACGAGCTTTCTCCACATGGAGGAAGCCTATTATTTATTTATCCCACAAAAACTGGCGCCAAACACTTTGACAAGCAATATTTAGGCCCCGTATTGGATCCACTTTTGAGGAAATTAATGGTTCTCTATATGCTACGGGAAGATCTTTTGTGGGGTATCCGGAACATGGCCGCTATCGAGAAAATGAACGAATTTGAGGGACTACGACGGAAGCTGGATAGCTTCTGTACGAGGTTTTCTCATGCCATCAATGATACGACGTGGGGAAAGAGTGGTTCAGGTTCTCAGGCGTCGAGATTACAGCATGATTCGAGCTATCCGAAAACTCGTGTGCGATTGGCGCACTCGCAAAAGGCTATGATTCAGCTGAACGACAACAGTTGGCGGGAGTGGTGGTCTCAGCAAGAGCAGCTAAGAATCAGAGAGGCGGTAAAACGGCACTTTTCTAGCCTACAGCCATCCGCGGAAGCCCAGACTCCTGCGCCGCCAAGCGCTTCTGGCCCTCATGGATCACACCACGCCAAATCCGCGTCAATGTCATCCCCGAAGCTTGGAAAACTTCCCTCCATGGCGCAAGTAGCGAAGGCCGTGACCGCCTCCTCGACTCCATCCTCCCCAACAGTGCCATCATCTCCGCAGTCACAATATTCGTTTGGATATGGCGCCCCTGGTGATCTGGCCAGAGAGGTTCTCGACGGTGTAAGGGCCCCTGCCGTGCGACCTTCATCAAGGGGGATGAGTGAGGCAGTTGTTGCTAGTGCTCTTGCGGGGCCTGGAACTTTCGGAGTTGGGGGCGTTGTAGGCGACTATGAAATTAGCAGTGTGCCTGGTGATAGGCGCGTTAAGGAGAGGGGTATCGAAGTGGGGGTATTTGTTTTGCGACGGGAGGTAGTTACATAAGGACGACCCGAGTGGAATTGGTCGAGCAGCGATTTTGGATATAATCTTTTTCTCTTGTTTTTGGCGGGTTTTACTGCGGAGCTTTGTTTTTCCCATTTTCCCCCATTCTCCCTAGTTTGTTTTTCGATTTCTCTAGAGTCTCTGTTCACGATACTTATTTTCTTTTTTTCCTTTTTTCTTTTCCTTCCCCTCCCCCCTTTTTTTTGCTTGGTACTGCAGGAATTTAGCAGGTTATAGGGCCAGAAGGATGGAAGATGGAAGGAATGGAGAGGTGACGGAAAAGGAAGCATAACAATTTCAAACCACCGAACTGGTAATCGGATATGCACAAGAGAGACAGGGTGCACGCACGCGCCGATCTGCGCTCGATTCCTTGAATCACGAGTCCTGAAAGACTTTGGGGGGCACCCCCACCCCAATTGAAAAATGTCCCAAGTTCGATGGAGGCATTCACGGATTATTTCTCCGGGTGGACAGCTATTTCCCCCATATTTCATCTTGTTGTCGTATCCCGGCTTTTGTTCCTTTTTTACACCAAGCTTTGTTTCTCCATGGTATATTTATTCACATCTACTCATACACCCAGCCCTTCCTCTCTGCATACAAAGAAACCAGAGGGGTCGGCATGCATGCATGCATGCATACATACATATATACATACATACATACATACACTCGCATTATACGTGAAATCGCTTTCACCATCTTTATATTTCCTTCAACAATGTCGTTATAGAGGGGGGGTGAGGGATCATAAGAACTCAAATAATCGAACCTCAAACTAGGACGTTGGAGTTGCCTCTGCTGGCATGGTGCCGTGTTTTGTTTTGTTTTCTTAAGCTGGGGAGCTCAGGGGGTCAGTTCGCCGTGCTCTCGGCCCCCCAATCCAGGAGAGGGAATTCTGGACGTCCCATCATAATATCATGGCGCGAGGTTCGATTACTCGAGCCTTTGGGGTAGGGTGGGTCCCAATGGGTGGCGTTTATTCGTCCGCTTTCTGTAATTCTGCTTTTTCCTATTTGGTTCGTTTATACGGAAGTGTTGCACGTATCATAAGTATGATATTCTTCTGCAATATCATAGTAGTTATTTGAGAATCACAAGGGGTTTGCTTCCTCCTTCTTTCTCTTTTTACTAGTGCTACGTACCGTACCTTGCGGGAAATTGTGAAGGCATTATGATACCAAGTGATGAAAGCCAATTATGATACCCCCGATTCTTTCTCCCTTCCCGACGCACACGATAGTTCCATCACACAGTACAAGAACCCCACTTCTTCGTGACGGGGGCCGGAGAAGAGAAGTGCTCAATTCCATCCATCCATCCCGGCTGTTGGGGCCAGATCCGGAGAAGAAGAAAAAAGAAAAAAAATTGGCTCCCATGGAGCGGAGACCTTCCAAAAAAAAAAACATTTTCGATTTCCCCCCATTCCCTTTTTCTGTAATCCTTCGTTATGTAATCCTCACAGAATTCTTCCCATATTATCCATCGAAAATGGAGGGAGGGAGGGAAAGAAAAGAAAAAAAAAAACTTTTTAAATCCCTATCATAATCCGAGCGCGTTTTTGGTTCAATCCATCCCCTTTTTTCTTCAAAAAACCCGAAAACGATGAGCGTATTGCCCTACACGAGTGAGGAGCTATGACCTACCGCTCTGCGAAAAAAACCAGTCTCTACAGTCTCAGGATACAGTGGGAAGGACTAAGTAGTGGGCCGGGGGGGGGGGGGATGTGGGGATCGGCATGCACTTGGAAAAAGAATGTTTTTTTTTAAAAAAACTTTCTTCACCTTCCATAATTTTCCCGTTCTCTGATGATACCCGGATTTAGAAAAAGCTCTCCCCTTCTGTAAAGGGGAAGTTTTTTATTTTTTATTTTTTATTTTTTATTTTTTGTACGATATGGTGGAGCCCATGTCGTGCCCACTGCAAATGATACCGAAGCCCCTTTCACCCGGTGAGAACGTCGCCTATCATACAAGTACATAACCTATCCATCCATCCATCCAAATCTACAAAAGAAAAAGGGTTAAAAAAAATTACCAAATTCGCAGTCTTGTGAGACGTATGTTTCTTTTTCTTTTCGATTATTCACCCATCGCTAATTCCCATCACATGTATTTACTTTTTGTTAGACCACTGGGGTGGGGGATAGTTTTCCCTAGCCCGTGTGTTTTATTTAGATGGGCACCCAGGTCTTTCCGACGGGAGGCCGGGCCGGTCAAGTCGGATCCTCAGATTCTACGGGCGGAAAGGATACCGCACACGTTTTAAGGTGTGCGTCATTGTTCATAGCCCCAGGGAAGAAAGAAAGAAGAAAAAAGTCTCCCTGACGGACGGGACAAGGTTTTCTGTTGAAATTGTTACTTCAATGTGATGGAAAGAACCAGACTGTCCGGTTACCTAGTGTTCAATTTGGGAACCATGATGTAGATGATCATACGAGTCATCCTGATGTATCTAGATCAGACAGCAGCTATAAGAGGGATGGACTTGGGTACATGTACTATGGCAGCGAACACAATGTTTTCTCATAACAATTGATCTCTCAATCTTCGAACCCCTTTCGTGTCTTGAGCCAGATTCCTCCGCACAATACCGACTCCTTCTCCTTGACTTACAATGTTTTCTTTCTGCACACATACGTGCGCGGAATTGGACATGTGTCCTGATATGGACTTAGTTGATTGGATGATCCTGTTTGTCCTTCGAGTGATTATTTGTGAATACGGCAAAATCGGAGGAAGGAAGGGAGGGGGAGAGAAAAGTGAGCTCCCATTTTGGGCGGGATATATGGGGAAGGGGTAGGAAGGGCTTTGGGACCAAACCTCAAGTTTATCTCATCTCCGGACTTAAGTTTTGCAAAAGGAATTTCAGGCTATCATCATACAGCAGCATATATTGCAGAGGACTTATTCCGTTACCCCTCAATGTTAGGTGGACCCCCCGCCCCCTGCATTGTGATATCATACCGGGGTGGAAAGGGCATCATACACCTCGGAGATTGGTCCAGGATTGGGGTTGGGCTTGATGGTTAGGGCATCGTGAGCAGCGGTTATAAATGCCAGAGAGCGCTAGACCCTTCGTCCGACCAGCCCTGGAAATCTGAGTTACCCGAGGGATATTTTATCGTTTTCTTTTTTTTCTTTTTTTTCTTTTTTTCCCCAAGTTGCCGGGGATAAGTCTCCTTATTATACCCGACTTAGGTGTTTGTTAGCCTCACTGTTTCTCCCCTCTCTCCTCTCGGGGTTAAAGCTCACGTATAATATGCATCGATCCGATTCGGGATGATGGTGGCTGAACGGGGGCCAGTGAGAGTTTCCAGGTCAAGGGTTTGGGTCAACTGATAAGGTCGGATGCATATGGTAGATGTGCAAGTTAGCATCCACTCTTTCTCCAAGAGCGAGCAGTGCTCTGCCCTCTGTGCGTCTCCCGACGCTTTTTGTCAAAGACTTGTGGTATCATACTATACACCCGTGACCGCCACAAACCACGAGAGAAGCAATCTTGAAGAGCACGGGCCGGAGTTGGTCCTCGTACCGGCCCGTGTTACAAAAACACTGTTCAAGCCCCACTCAGACCAAAGAGGGTGGGAAATACACTCGGGAATCTGATAGGATAGCCTACACCGGCACCAACCCGTCACAGTAAGTCGCCGGAACCCTGATAGCGTCAACTACTTCCCGCTCTCCTCCCCTTTCCCTTGCCATACCCCGTAAACCCGGCAAGAATACCGGCCCGAAACACCCAGGGTAAAAACAACACACCATCAGTAGGTTGTGATACCCACCTAGATGCCGCAGCTCGCCTGGAATATGCCATCTCCAAGGATCCACCCCAAGCCTAGTCAAGCGATCGAAGAGCGCTCTACTGGTATGTACGAGTATAGTACCGTCTGGGGATTAGTAATGTCCTAGAAAGTGTGGTGCTCAAAATGCCTCCAGGAGCTGGGAGGTCGACTGAAGCAACCCCCGACATACATCGTATATGGCATTGTGCTCGAGTACCCTACATTACAATATATGTGCACACTACAGCAACACAACTCCGTCGCTGTGCATTCCACACTGAAAGTCGTACTCACAACATCGTCTCACAGTTGCCCGCATTTCGGTTATGGCAGACTTGCAGAGTGCCCCGGATCGGGAGATTTGTTAATTGCGAGCGGCCCGGTGAAATATTCGGGTGTTTCTTTGCGCAGGTTAAGGTGGCCTGTGTGCGAACGACTGGAGTTAACGCCTTCCTGGCCGAGTGCCCCCCCCTTTTTTCTCTTTCTCTCTCTCTATGCACATACAAATTTCCGGGGGTTGTCTTGAGATTTGGAGCTCCTCCGGGCAGAATCGTCTACTGGGTGTTGCTCGGTTTGTTGACGATAGAGTGCTGACCTTTGGGTCTGCGCAATAATAGTGAGGGAAAGTGGGGGTATCGGAAAGGCCACCCTTTTGGGTGCTTTGGTGTCATTGTGCGGTGTTGATAAGGGTGTAATAACGGGCCGATGGCGGGCTGTGTCTAGGCACCACGATACATCTGTTTGTTTTTTTCCTTCTCCTCAAATGGAATTGGGAAGGTGGATGTAGGTGACCGGGTGATCTGTTAAGGTACATACCCGCCCGGTATGCGCTTGTCGAAAAGCACAACTCTGATGTACTGGTACATACTGTGCGTATGTAGTATCAAACTCGAAATGTCGAAGCCTTCTCAGGGAGGACTGCAGTTTACACACCACCAAAAAAAAAGTTTGATCGGCACACTAGGATCGGGGTGGTGATATGTGGTACCGGTTCGTTTTTAAAATTTTAAAATTTTAAAATGCTTCGACACGACGGGTACCCGGAACGAAAGTGCCGTACCCGCCCGCCTGCCCACAGGGTTCAAATTTTTTGAATAGCGGATCGTCCGTGCACACGCAAGCCCCCCATACTGAATTCAGAGGCGAATGCTCGGGTACGGTGCCGGTACTTTCTTGCTGGGCGCATGTACCGTGCTCGAGCGCAGTACAGTATAGTACTGTGCCAGCGCAGCACCGGCTCCTGAGAGGTGCGGATTGGGTCGACCTTCGGTACTTGGTGGCGTAGGACACGGCAAGGAGGGTGCAGCAGATCTTTGGGTTGACAGGTTGGATAAACCAGAGTAAGGGAGGTGGTCCGCATAAACCTCATGTCTCCACACAAGTGTGGAGAAGGGCCCCTGCTAGATCAATACCGGTACTTTCGGCCCATCCTTACCCTAACCAGCTTTCGGCGCCATGCGAGCACCCTCGGGCAGCAATGGGGCCAGGAGCCCAGCGAAGCGAGGGGGCATTGAGGGCGAATTGAAGATTTGGCAGCACCCGCTTTGAGGGAGAATGGTTCGAGGAGGAGGAGGATAGCCTATAGAACCGGTTGAAGGCGAGTACCGTACCGTATCATCGCAGATGAGGGCCGCCATGAACCCAAGATGGCATCAGAAGCCGGACGGGTCTTGCCCAGCACGAGTATTCGTACAGTATCATCGTAAAGTGCCAGCATATCGTCCCTCGCCCACAAAGTATGATATCCAGTATGAAGTACTCGGGCGCAGGGGTCAAGGGTGCACTGTGCTCGAGTACAAATTATCCGTCGAGTACTTGTACTGTATGATAGAGTACTCGAGTACAGGTAAGCGAGTGCACGCCCTAACGCCCACACTAAATTCGGACTCGGATGCTCCCGCACGAGTACGAGTACGCACCGGCACAGTACCGGTACGGTACGGTGCTGGGGTGTCGGTGAGCTCGGAAGCTCCTAGCAGAGGCGGTGCGGAAGCCGAGAGGGAGGGAAGGAGGAAGGAACCTCTCTACTCCCCCGACTCTGCCGAAATCCTCGCACTGCACACTCACGTGAATGGCCAAGATTTCCCCGGCGCGACTTCTCGCTTGTAGGAGTACCGGTAGGTGAGAGCGCCAATCGGGGATGAAGCCGTGGAGGGAGCTACACGGCTGATTGCCCCCCCCCCCCTCCCCGCAGACTTCTAGAAGGAGTCAATCAATTCGTAACTAGCCTACCAAGTCTCAGCACAAGAGAGGGGTTTAGAAATCGCTGAGTCAGGCGTGGATCTCGAGTGGTGATGCTGTGGGGATCTAACGTCTAGACTACGGGTCCAAGGTACAGTACAGTACAAGTATGGTACCGGTGGTCCCGGTAGTTAATGGTGACTGGGTTGTGATGATTGCACCAAAGCGGCCCCTGGATCGGCGCTTTGGTGAGACACGCTGCGGAAGAGGCTGTTGTGGGGCCGATCGTGTGTGATCAGTGATCACTTGGAGTTATGCTATTTAATTTAGATATCGAGACTCTGATTCGCGTGAACCCACATCCTAATCTGATTTCCGAAGACCAAAAAACTCCAATCCCCAAGCCATAGTACTAGACCTCATGCATTCCTCCGGAAACCCACAAGTGAAACAAGGAAATCTATACAAGTGTAGAAATTATGATCCAAGGAACCCTACAACAACCTCCGACCAAGAAATCCCCGAACCCTATTCCACGCCCTATCGGCACCGGACTTCAGAACAACCTTCCCCTCCTCCGCGCCATCCACTGCTGCCTCCGGCTGAATCGAGCTCACCGACAGCATCGAGTCCACGCTAGCGCCATTCGACCCGGTCTTCGGCAGTGACTCCGTTGAAACTATATTCCCAGCGCCTCCCCGACCGATGGAGTAGACCGGCGCGCGGTTCTCGCGTATGACCTTCTCCTTCTCCAGTTCCTCGTCGAAGAAGAAGATGGCGCGCTCGGATTTGTGCCTGATGTTGCCGGCGCCGCCGATGCCGGTCGAGAAGAATTGCGGGGAAGGGGAGAGGGGGGTGGGAGGGAGGGTGGATGGGGGGCTCGAGGCCGTTAGGGAGAAGGTGATGCGGCGGTAGTTGCTGACCCCTTTGCGGCTTACTGTTTGGACGTAGAGTCCTGTTGAGGGCACCGTTGTGCTCTGGGAGAGGCTGAGAGACATTATAAAGTTAAGGTTTTGTGGGGCGAGAGCTTGAATTAATGGGGTGGGTGATATTGGAATGGAGGAGGTCCGTGCCGTCCGAGATTGCGGGAGTGTATGGGAGAAATTAGGGAGGTAGTCAAACCTTTGAGGATGAGAGTTGTGTTTCCGCGGAGCTTTTCCAGTGTCTTTATATCCCCTCGCTTGTGGACAGAGCTCTATCCCACTAGCTTAGCACCGGAGGTATATATCGAGGCGTGCACGTCGGTGTGTTTAGTGCTTTGGTTTTGTTAGCTTTGTTCGCCGGGGTAGTGGTTCTCTAGTACCCGGGGGGGGGGGGGGCGTGGCGCACCTTTTGGCCCGGTGAATTTTCCTCCAGTGCGAGAATCCCCTCAGAGAATCAGGACTTAGCAGCGAGCCTGATCCCCGGGGATCGTCCTTGGGGATAGTGAGTTCGGGTAGCCCACGAGGCACGCTCCTTGAAGGTAAATTAGAGGCCCTCGAGGAAATCCTCCGGGGTATCTTGGGTAATTATGTCTGGGGAGGAAAGGGGGGGATTTTAATTTAAACCGGAATTGCGTGACTTGATTTGAGAAGGAAAGATGATCGACTGTTGAAAAAGTGAAACGAGCGAAAAACGGCCAATTTTTGGAGGGAGAGCACGGGCGGGGCTCTGGTGGTCGAAATTTGAACAGCGGAGGAATTAATTGGGGGGGGGTGGCTTTCGGAAGAAGTGGAGTGGTGATATTGATTCCGAAGAGAGCTGCACTGGTGATGTGGGGTGGGCTATGGTGGAGAATATTTCTCACGAATTGCGGGGAAAGGATATACGAGTAGATTCTCGGGTTCAATTTGTGAATGTAGCTTACCGCACTAGACTTACTTCAACATCTTGGGCTTGCCCTGGGAGTGGCACTGGTCCGGATGTATCAAAGTACTACCAGACCCAAGAATCTCTCGTGGAGACATCGAAGAAGCCGAGGGAGAAGGGAAGTTGCTCCATCCACCTGTATGATGAAGTTGGAACGGCTTCCCAAATCATCGTATCTTGTTAGTTTCTGACTATTCTCTGAGCACACCCTAGCTTCCCTATTCCCGTGATTGAAGCGTCCAGTATGTTAGTATCCTCGGAGGTGATTCCTGAACCCTCGAGAACAACAATGGCTCCCTCCGCTGAATACCATCTTAATTGATACAACTCGCTCGGGACTCCGCCTGCTCAAATGTGCCAACCCTTTCAACGTTGACCCACACCTAAGCTAGTGCTCGTGCTCGTACAATGAAGGGAGGAGTGCTTCGATCGCGCATCTGCGGCGGTGTGGGGTTACCAAATTTCTGCATTTTGGCGATGGCGCAGGCAGGATGGCTGGTGTCAGTACAGTACAGTACAGTACAGTACAGTGTCGCCCTCCTACAGGTATGCACTCAGTGAGCTTAGCGCTAGGGTATTTCCACCCAACGCCGCTCCCATCTCCAACACCACCGGCAAGTGTTACTTCGAGTTCGTGATTGAAGTTCTACTTTAGCAGGCAAGAAGTACCGGAAAAACAACAACAGGGATTCGCGGAGTATATGGGGAAAAATCCACGCGTATCCGAGTCCCCATACAAAAGCACGATCCCTGTTTCAGTTGCTTCTTGCATGGTACGAGATGTGCCCCACACGGTCCGCCGTCGATGGTTTGCTTGAAATCTCGGTTCTTGATAGTGGTTTTGCCATTTACCAATATCAGGGGTCAAGACCTTTGTTTCTTGTGCTCCCTTCAAGTGGTCCCACCTCTCTGGTAGGGTCTCATGTAACATAATCCCTCTCCTTACAGTGCTTGGCGCCCAGTTGGATACCGCAGACTAGGAAAGTGGATTAGTGCTTGGCTAATGCTTTCCCACCCCCTTGAAAGCTAGAATGTGAGTTATCGGTGCCTCCCCTAACCGAAATCTAGGCAATCCCGCATCTTCAGGAATGAAAGCTCCTGCGAGTAGTGACTACCGCAATGCCTTCCGGTCCTAGGTAAGACGAGCAAAATCTCGATTACTAGGCGACACTAGGCCTCAAGTTGAGTACTCCATCCACCAGCCAGCGCGGCGCAATTTTGAAGGGAAGTATGATAATAATTATCAGCTTACCGTAAATCAAATCGCGAGTTCTGAAATTCCGGGCTCGGACTTTTTTGTGCCTTTTGCACTTTTTGACCATTCCTTCGGCCCTTCCGGGGGTTGCCCCCCCTTCCCTGGTGGGGATCCACCGGAAGACCAGCGCTGAGCAGCCCGGAAGCCTTGGGGTGGAGCGGATATTAGGTTGGTCCATAATCGGGGTCATGTGAAGGGCGGGCGTAAGTGAAGCCTGGGGATAGCGCTCTGAGCTATAGTTGGCGGTCTATCGCCCGCAACAGACCGACCCCGCACTTGCGTTTATGAATGGTGGGCAGCTGTCTTGCGTCAGAAAATGGCTCGGGTCGTTCTGCTGTTTCAGAGTAAATGAAAGCTTAGCCCAACCCAGAAATTAAGAAACGATTGAGTTTTTGAGCGATAACTGAGCTCCTTTCTGGAATTGTCAACTCTTCAGTCATGCCCCCTAACGATAAATCATTCGGTGCCCCCAGAGGAATTACGGTCTGAGATAAGAGCCATGCTCTTGGTGGGTTTCTTGCGGATGCTATGACGGTGGGCTGCATACCATGCATCCCGGTTTGGAGGGTCCTCTTAACTGTGCCGACCTGCACATCTAGCTCCGCCCGCCATAGTTAGTTAGTCGGAATTTGTGTACTGTCTGCCTGTAATATCTCCCATGCCCGGACACCTAGTTATTCCGGCGTGTATTTAACCACGCACAGAGGACTAGTTGCGAGGAAGAAGGGAATAGCGTGAACGGAAGATTAGTGTTTCCAGGGTTAAGGTTGAAAGGTCTGTTCTGTCACAAATGGGCAGCTAGACAAGCCTGGGAGATTGGGCGGGGGAATTGAGCGCCGAACACCTTTATCCACATCCTTCCTTCACGCTTCTCGCTTCTATTCCCCACCAATCTTTCATAGCCGAGGCTGGCTTAAGAACAACTCGAGAACAGGGCCATCACGGCATTGGTCGCCTCGGCATCTTGAGAACTCACAGATAAGCATGTGGGCAAAATTTACCCGCAAACCTTCAACGAGACTATAGCCCAGAACTCTCGAGTGTAATGGAAGGTTTTTCTCATCCATGAGCATCATACCCCTGGATAGCGCTTATAGAATTACTCCAAACCGATGGCATATCCAATATCTTTGAGACGTCTCCTGCCGCCACCCTCCTGGGGATCCCCCAAGAGATGGATTCCCCTCGAAACCTCATCACCGGTCAGGCCTAGCGCTCAAGAAAAACCACAATCCTCAGCAGTTTGCCCAACGGTTCTTGCGCGGTTGACAAAGACTTAGGTGATCCGACCCAGGGATTAACCCTCCTCCGAGTAAACCAGTCCTGATGCCACATATGCAGGCTCTAGAGTAACAGCGCAGGAATCAACATATTCTTGGTGATCTGGAATTTTCCAAAAATAAAATAAAATAAAGCAATCCATAATTCCCTTTTAGCCAAAGCCTGTAAGCCTCTCTCTTTTTCTTCTCTCCCCTTCAACAGAGAGTGACCCCATTTAGTGTCGATGGCGGCTTCCACCGCTCAGCAACGAGTTGCAGCTCCAAGGTGGGGGAGTTGTCGTCCCTTCTGAAATCAGGACTCTGCGCTTAATTCTACAATCCCAACCAGATCTCGGTGTATATGATTCCTCTTTTTCTCGCCATTCCTTAGAAAAATCCTGATGCCCCTCCCATTCCCTGCCGAGCTCTCTCGTTAACTTACACCGACTGACAACCACAATCTTCAATAGTGGCTATCTTTTGTCCGGAAGGTATATGGTGTATATATATATATAGTACCAGTTCTCGTGGGGGAGGACCACGGTCATGATATCTCACTCGCATAGTTCGCCGGTTTCATCAGGGGCTGTTTGGTACGGGCGGTTTGTTGATCCAAAATACATTTTGGAGCTGTTGAGATGCCCAGAAATTGGCTTGATCCTGCAACTCCTCACATTGACCCTAAACTCATTTCGAATCGACGACAAACTGCCTCGGGACGCATTTATCCGCCTCAACTGACCGACGAACTATGTCGTATCATACTCGAGTGGCCTCCTCTCCGATTAACTTTCTGCTATTTCATGCATACAGTATCATCTGCCAGAATTTCTCACTACTTCTTTGCGTCGCTGGGCTGCGCTTGAGCTTCTTTTTTTTTTTTTTTTTAAAAAAAAAAGAAAAACTCTTCACCGTTATCAACGCCACACACTCCATCCAACCGTTGGGTACGCCCCCTTTTCTCATTACTCTCTTATTTTCCTTCCTCTTCTTCTAGAGTCCTTCACGTGATTCCACCCTTGTGATACCCATCTCCTCTGCCCTTCTGCATTTCTTGGCTCGAGGGAGCGGATGCAAACCCACTCTTGTGCATGCGGGGGGGGGGGCAATTCAAGCTTCTCTTCTTCCCTGTACAAAAACTGTACAGAGTTATGTTCTGAATTGGGAGCAAGGACTACCTTGGCCCGTGATGTTGCTCTAGCGTTGCATATCGTTGACTGCGTTGGAGGAGAGAGTTCCTGGGAGCGATGCAGCTCTGCAAACTGCATTATCATAGCCTACTATTGCATTTGCACGATAGGATGCATTATAGCTTGGAACATGATATGATGTTTCCTGCATGACAAACACCCATGCTAGGTGTACTATGCCGGGGCCGAGTTTTCAGCAGAAGGGTCACGCGAGGAGTGAAGTTAAAGCCTATGATATCCCCACCGACACAGGCACAGCCTCTACTTCCCGAATACCCCCCATAACGCTTCAAAAAAAAGGCCACTCCTCCCCTCTCAAAAGTCATAAGCCCCATTCACCCCACACCTCTACATTCCTCGCCCAACTCCTCACAACTCTCTCCTCCATCCCGCATCTAATCTCTGACGTTCAAGCCCTCACCACCGCCCGCACAATACTAACCCGTCACCTCCTGCGCACCAGCCTAAGGTTGGACTGAGTAACACAACAACTTCTTCCCCTCTTACCATCCTTCACGAGAACAACTGCATATTACAGCTTCCCCGTGACCGGCTCGGCTACAGCAGCAGGGTATCTGGTCGACCTTCTCGTGCCAACTGTGGACGCGAACGTGCAAGTATACTTGCTGCAGGACTAGGTCATCACCAGGGTCCAGGGCATGCCGCTACTGTTACTATGTCAGCTGTTCCGACTGGACGAGTGGAAGTGAACGGGGAGGGTAATTACTACTAGTGCTACGATGGGGAATGATCTTGGGCTCGCATGCTAGAGGGGAGTGGTGCTTGATAGGAGATTACATGCGCAGGTGGTGGGTGTGAGTTGGGGGGTTGGTGAGCCGGGCCTAGTGGGAGTGGGCGCCAAGGGAGGGGTTACGGGGATGAAGGTGTTCTCGGCAATGGTTCATCCAAGACTCCTTAGAGCAGTGGAGGTAGTGGGGATTGGGCGCTGTAACGTGGTGGATATCGAGCGGGTGGAGAAGCCATGGAGATTGATCCTTCTAGATTGAAGGAGGGGTTGGGGAGGGCCGGCGAGAGGGCGTGGTTTCTATCGTTGTGGCTAGCCTTGGGGAGGCCAACACTGGGCGGTGTTTCGATTGAGGGATGGAAGAAATTAGCGGCTACTCGAGTACACGCTGACGGATCTTTGCAGGGGTTCTTGAAAGCGAGGGGTCTAGTGATGGAGGATTTTTGTGGGGCCCGGAACCTCCGGATCGTTTTATTGCCGGGTATGAAGATGGGATAACGCCGTACGTCGCACATCCCCCTCACATGATACCCGCCCTTAAAGCTTGTCCTAACTTTACCCCTAACACTACAGCCATAAGACTACAGCTTCTCCTTCGCCAGAGATCCGAGAGTTTTTTTCAGCCACGTTCGTTAATGTAGTACCCTGCCTCTCCCCACCCTCCTCCCCCGACGGGATACAACTACTCAACGGGAGTGAGGATATATATTCATGACTGTTCTCCTCTCCGCAAAGGAAGATGGACCAAATGATGGCTATCAGCGATACAGAGAAGATGTACGTATCCAGAACAACATGGAACAACAGACCAGAGGTAGGTGTAGCCGTGGTAGCCCGACAGGTTGGAAGTGAAATGTGGGAGGTTGTAAAGCAAGTCTTGTGCTGATGCTCGTAAAGTTATGACAGACCTAGTCTATGCCCCCGCAAATGAATGATATGATATATCAAGAAAAGACAAAGGCAGAGGTAAAGAAAAGAAAAAAAAAGAAAAAAGTTGTCATAAAACTCCACCATACCATACCGTACAGTACTTATAGTTAATGACATCCAAAGTTTCAAAAAGACGATTTCCCAGTAAAAACGAGTAAATGCGGAAAGCCGCATAACATTTACTTTCCAGTATTAGCCAATCGTACAGAGGTTATGATGGGCCCTAGAGACACCCAAAGTAATTACAGACTCGGCCCAGAGGATGGCGGTAAATGATGCCGGTATCGTAGAATAAATAAGGCGACGGTAGACTTGAATCCCAAGGGCCAAAAAAAAAAAAGATCAAGAACTACTATAAGTTATTACTAGCACGATATCATGATAGTTGGAGAGATCCAAGACAGGTAAATAAATGAATAATGGAGACAGTCAAGACCTACAATCTCAAATCCCGAATAGAGCAAATAGTGACAGTAAATGGAATGGTAAAATGGTACAAACAGTACAGTATATATATACCCCCATCCCATCTCACGAAGCACGATATCACGACAGCAATTTACTTATTATATCACATTACTACCATCCGGACCCGTATAACGGGTACCTTCTCTTTTCACTACGATAGGCTTTCCTCGCGGCTTTCCCGACCGGTAACTGGCTAGCTAACTTAACTGGTAGCTCCACTTGAACATGGTGCGCGGTCACAGACTCCGGAGCTGAACTTTCTCCTTAACGGACTATCATTGTTCTCGATCGCTTCCCTAGAGCTTCCTGGAAATGGTGGAATGGTTAGTCTATGGATGGCGCGCCGAAAGGTTAGCTGATCGAAGGCAAGCGTGAGAAGTAAGGCGGAGACGCTCCAGGGAGATGTCTGTGAATAGTCAAGTGGTATGGAGGGGGGATCTGTGATGATTGTGTGTGGCGATGGTGCCTCACACTGCCTTGAATCTGAGAGAAGTGATCGGGGACTCAATAATCTCCCCAAATCTTGCCTATTTTAGCCGATTACCTGTGGCGTTTGGAACCTTGACAGAAAAAAAGAAAATAGAGAGAAATCGCAGAATCTCACGTCATCTGGAATCACTCCCAACTATCATACGATATCAAAGGGAAGAAAACTCTCGAAACTCCCGAAGTCAATTCATTAATCGTGACCCTACCAATCAAACCAGCGGATACCAAGAAGAGTAAAATCACACAAACGTCAAATCTTTCTCTGCCTCAAAACTCCACATCCCGTCCCACTCCTCGGTACGCCGTTTCTTCCTGGCTTCCGCCTCGCGTTCCTCCCCCTCCTCATCAAAGTCGGAAGATGTCTCATAGTAGTCTTCATAGTCATCGCCTTCACTGCAATCGGCATCAAATTCTGGCCTACGCCGCCGTCCATGGACGTGTTGGTGTTGATGATGTTCGTCCTCATCCTCAGACATTGTGAAGTCCTCCCTTTGGAACGCCCATTCCCCACGTTTATCCAACCCAGCCGCTGAAAGAATATCCTCGCGGTCGAGATAGACAGTATTGAGATCGTCGTAGAGGAGCCAGAGACCCTGTTCCGGCAGGACGTTCTCCCAGACGAACCAGTTCCTGAGTGAGTGCTTGAGACTGCTCGCGCGTTCAGATAGACGCCCCAGCCAACGCGTAGACGCTGGTGCTCCAGAGGGAACATTCGTGAACCCCACAACCTTGTTATTCCCCTCGTCGAACAGATCCCACACAAACAATTTGCCGGTCCGGCAGGCAGCGAAGAAGCGACCCCCGGGGGAGACGGAGATGTTGTGCCAGAAGCATAGGACCTGGTTTGGCGTGCGCACCCACCACCCGGCGCGCTCGTTACTGGTGTTCCAAAGTTTCTTGCCGGGCTCTGGCGCTGAGGACCAGTAGAAGTCGTCGAGAACTATGAATGGGTCGTGCAGGCCTGCGTCGTTCCGGCTTGCTGTGAAAACCAGTGGGGGGTTTGGGGGCGGCGGTGGTGGGGAGTCAATAGTGGTTAGGTCCCAGACCCAGTTGCAGTAGTCGTGCGAACCGCTGATCAGTTTGGTTTCTGTCAATGCGAAGGCGTCATTATGGATACGGGTGCAGCGGTTGCCAGCGCCCATGGATTCGTCGGGACCCAGGTGATTGTATAGCCTACTCTGCATAGTGCAACGGATCAGAGTTAGCGCTGAATTACCTTCATAGGGTAAAATGGAAGCAATACCATCTTTTGATGCCGCATGAGGTTGTACTCCACACTCATGTCATGGTGTCGGTGGTCCCAGTACAGGTTCGGAAAGGATAATGTTCGGAGCATATCTCCGGTCTTTAGATCTACGACCCTGAATTCCCGGTCGACTAGCTCCTCGTTGGATTTTGTCGTTCGGATGTTCCAGCGGATCAGAACTACAGCTTTAGTGCTGTTCAACTTCAGGTTGCAAATTACGTAGTGCAGGTGCACCGTCGGAAGGTATTCTTCTGCACGGTCATATGTAAATAGCTGTTGCCAGCGGTAGACCGTTCCTTGCTCTCCAGGCAGTGGGACTGACGACGCTCTCATTTTGCCCCGCTTCTTCTCCGACATAGGCTCCGCGGCGGCCTGACCAGCCGAGTGGCTGCCAGGATAACCGAGTGATTCCACACAAAATATACGAGGGTCCTCCGGAGGGTCCATGAGAGCTTCTATGTCATCTTCATCATCCGCACCGCCATGAGTGAATAGGTTGAACACCAGTATCCCTGTCCAGCTGGCGCACCGAGCAACACTTGCCTTGGTATCGGCAACATACTCGGGCAGGCATTTCAGATCCCACGTTACAATCTCTTTGACTGCTGGCCGGGGGTGGGCTTTAACAGAGCTGAGCGGGGAGATGGACGTTTCTCTCCCTCGCCGAACCCTGACAAGCTGATACCGATCCCCTTCGACTTCATATATATCCGGAGGGAAATACTCCACGCCTCTCACACTTCTCTTCAAGCCTCCGGGCCGCCGAGCAGGCTTGTTTCCGAACGTCCCATACTCGTCCAAGGTGACGAAATAATCTTCCCCAGCCCTAAGGCTCAAACAAAGTGTATACCCTCCCTCCTTGTCAGGGAAAGCATGAAGCTGATCTGGCCCCGGTTGAGCACAAACAAGTAATAATTTCTTCCTCCTCTTCCCTTGGCCATTTACCACTGCTCTTCTCGCCCGCTCATCTTTCCATAATGTAGCGGACACGCACCCCTTATTCCCACCAAACGACTCGACACCGCCCTTCCCACCGCCCTTTTGCTTAATCAACCCGTTCTCACTGCGCATAAACACCCCGACCAGGTTCCGCCAGCTAGTCTGATGAGACTCCTCTCGGCCCTGTACGTCACAGAGTTTCTCCGGCAACCAACTCCAACAAGCACGTGCTGCTGAGCGCCAGAACGTGGCGTCAATATAACTATCCAGGAGAATATCGTTGAAGAGGGTGCATGTTAAAGCGATATATAGCAGAGTCTTTGCACTGTAAATCCTCAGGTGATCGGGCAATCGCGGGGGATCAGACTCGTCCAGCTTCACCACCGAGGACCCTGCTGCCACCGCAGTCCCATCCTGACCACTCGACTGTGGTCTTGCTGGCTGGGGTTCGGGGCTCGTTAAGCTCGGGGCTGTTGCCCTTCGGGATGCATGCCCTGCTGATGGGCTGCGGCAGTGCTCGCACTTGGGGAACTTTGTCGGTGAGATGAAAGCGAACTCGAATATTAGGAGAAGTAACTGACAGGGAAGGTCCTGTAGGAACAACTTCTGGTTGGCCCTCGGCCTTTCGGGAATCGTGCAGAATGCGCACCTGTTTGACGAGCGCCATTCACTGCGTCGACGTTTGGAGGAAGTCCTCCGGATTAGACCTCCTCCGCCCTCACTTAACGGCGGGGTGGGTGTTGTCCCTGTTGAAAGGACTGGGTATGGTGAAAAGGACGGTAACAGAAAGCTTGCGCTATGAGCGCTGGGTCCAACTCCTAGGAGGTGACACTTCGTCTCTGGAAACGCTGAAGGTGATTCTACATGCCAGGAAGTTCTATCGGCTTCACCGCCGTCAGTATGTCGCCTTTTCACCCGAAAGTCCGGCGAAGGAGAAGGGGAAGGCACAGGCCCGCCCTTTTGCTTGCCGAATCCGCCATCGGGGGTAAAGTCCGGAATAACTAGACCAAATTTTCATTAGCCGAATCCCACCGCCATAAGCCAAGGCGTTAGTGCTAGATGGATATGCCATATCATACCTAGCGCTGGCAATCGCGCCATATCCTCATCCGCCAAAGTAGTTGCAAACTCAAAATCCGTATCCATGCCAAAAATATCATCATTCTCACCCAATAACGGTGGAAACATGATCCCGCCCTCCGCCCAACCCCCGCATTCCTCACTGACGGATGTCAAGCCAGGAGGACCAAGGCTATCCTGCAACTGCATCCTTGAGAATGGATTGGACGGAGAAATCGGTGGCTGCGCCGACGGCCCTTCTCCGACCCCAGCCCCAGATCCCGAGCCCGGTTGGACTCCCCCGCTCCCAACCCGGTCCGCCGCCCGCCGCCCCCGAACCCTGTTATCCAAAGCGTAACCATTCCCATCCCAACTCTGGCCATCCAAGAACGAAGTCGTCGGGGACGTCTCATCCGGGCAAGATGACGATGACCCTTCGTTCCCATCCCACAACTCGAATTCGTAGCCCGCCCATCGCTTGTGCGGACCGGACCGGGGCGGCGTGGCACACCCAGCGCTGTTATCGGTAATCATATCGCCCCAACCCATCGATCATTCGACGACGTCTCGCAAGATAGACAGATATAATAGATGGATGGGTGGACGGGTTATACAGTTCTGCGCAGTGTTGCAAGAAATTGAGTGAATAAAAAGCTGTCTTGTGGGAATACAAAGTTTCTGAACGGGTATGGACGTATGACACGGGGATGTATGGATCGTAGGGTACGAGAATGTACTGTATCGGCTTAACGTCAATAATAAGTTACCGGTTGATGCGATGTCAGACAGTGCTTGCTTTTTTTTCTTTTTTTCATTCCCTAATTGTGAGGTCTTGCCCACCTCTTTCGAGTGGAGCAGGTCGGTCCCTCTTATCCAAAGCCGAGAGAGAGTGCGGGCTCGCTGATATAATAGGGAGGATCTTCCTCTTGGACGGGCAATACGTCCTCACCCTCGCCAGCCTCACTTCACTTCATATACGGTATGACAACCCACTCAGCCGCTCTGGTTCGCTGGCAAACAGAAGAAACATATCATACATATTTACATACCTCCCCCGAGTTCTAAGGCTTGTGACGGAGCGATGGATGGGTGGGAACACTGGTGCAGTGCAATGGGGCTCGAAGGGAGAAGGTAAGACAAGGAATAAATCCGGGAACACAAGCACTCCGACCGTACCATAGCGCCCATCAGCCCCAGCCTCTCATATCATACCTTCCCCCTCCCCTCTTCCTCCGCCATCCCCACCCCCAGATCCTCCGGTGAGGAAAATACGGGGCATAGCCTAACCCGCTCGGGGAAAGATTCTAGAAACCCGAGCTCGAATGTGTGATCTATACCTGTATCTTGTCTACTGTACATGACGCTCCACGAGCACAACCTCTTCCCCCGACCATGCGAATGGCAGGGTGCAAGGGAGGTTGGGAGTAGCACCGGAGATGGCGGCTCAGAGATTAACTTAAGCCTGCGCTCCTGTTATTACTCTACCAGCACAATGGGCGAGTCCACGAGATTCATCCCCATCCTCCACTAAACCCTGCCAAGGTTGGGCTTTTTTATTATTATTATTATTACTACTCATTTATTTGTTTACTTATTGCTCCGTCGGAGCAGTAATGATGCCTTGAGAAGTGCCTGACCACTCTGCATCAACAGAATAGTGTCGGAGGCAAAGTGCCGTGCGTTAACTCTAACTACTCGAGCGCCCATGAGGATGGTACAATGCAGCACTTGTGCGCTTTTCCCGACCAGAGCTCCTCCGGGAATATCATGAAGCTCTCTGCACCCCCCCGAGAAGGCTGTTTATTCACTTGTGAGAAAAGGCCTCACTTTTTCTCGCCGGCCCCAGACACTTGCATCATCGGGCTAGACTCCATGTCCGTGTCGTCAGAGGTACTGTACTTGTACCGGTAAGTTATTGTGGAAGCAGCTTTGTTGTATCACCCACCGTACTGGCGAGGTAGATCGGAGCACCGCACTGTGTGTGTGAGCCACTGTACCGTATGGTACAATAGACCTCCAGTGCTTAAGCTATCATAGCCGAGGCCCCTCCGCAACACACACACTGTACGAGTAGTTTACTTCCGGGGAAGGGAAGAACTATCACGCCGACAACATCGAGTCGAAACCCCACGATACCAACACCACAATGCACTACCCCACACCACGATGAACCAGTCCCCAGCCCCTCGGCCCCGAGTCCCTTTGCGTTCCAAGCCCTTCGGAGGCCACCGATGAGCTACCGGTACCGTATCATATTGGTGGTCCAACCACCCGATTACTACACCGCCAAGTACCGGTAAAGTCCAGTACCCTATGATACTCCCACAGACCCACAAAGGTATTCTCCCATGACCCATCCATCCTATTATGATACTTGTACTCGTACATACTGTAATTACCATTCCCCATGAACCCCTCTTACCGTACGGTGTAGCCATGACCTTCGACCCACCCCTGCATATTTACAGTAGGCAAATCAGAGCCATAGTTGCACCGCCTCGACAGCTTTACCAATCCAAGACCGACCCTACCCGCATCATATGAACATTCCTCAAACTTAATACTCGAGTACGAGCACAGCCCCAAGTTCCCAATCCCGTAAAAAAAAATTGTACTGCACAGCATGGAGTGGCCAAGGCAAGGGCCGGGGGCGGGGCCGGGCCGCTCAATACGAAGGCTTAGTCCACTCATACCACCATCTCCATGGGGTCGTTTCGATATAGGATTACTGTACTAATATTATGTATCCATCACACTAGCACTGGTACTCGTACCTTACAGAAATGCCTAATCGGGCTCTGTAAACCCGCCTCGGGAATGCAAACGAATACAGTAGATATAATAGATAAGCTTATATATATTCAGGAACGGGTTTTGTGGTCGGGAGTGTACTCGTACTCGAGTATTCTACTTGCAGTACGGGCTCAGAACGGGTTCTAACCTACTGTAGAAAGGTTGGGTCGGGTTGGGTTGTTTTTTTGTTTTTTTCCTAGTTCCTGCTCTTTTGTTTTTTCACTCTATCTTACCCTATAATAACCGCAGAGTACGGTACGATACTCGTACAGTAGCGGGCGGGAAGTCTGCCTTGGTCCTTGGCTGCTAGCTGGGGGGGGGGGGGGATTGTTGGGCGCAGGGAAATAGTAAATGGCCAATAACGCAGGGAGTGATTTGGCAGACAAGGGTTGTGGTGGATCGCCAAGGGGTGCAGGAGGGAGGTATCGTACGGTACAGCACAAGTATCATACGGTATCATACTCGAGTGCTCAAGTGCTATATGATACCCGCAAGTGGAGTGGTAAGTTAAGAGTAGGGTATCGTGAGGCTGCTGCCATTCAAGCACCGATACTCCCCGGTCAGGAGGCCTGTATCGTACTGTACGATACGGAGCTCGAATAAAATCCCTCCTGTTTCTCTCTTCCTTGCTTCACCCGGCTCTCCGCAGACCCCATCCCGGATCAACGTTCTGGCCAAGCCTTAGTTTTCCGATATGATGTTAGGAGAAAAAAAAAGAGAGGGTAAGGGAATTCTTAGCCTGGCATTACAGAGCCCCTCTCAAGAGAGAAGTTAAGAGGATACCAGGTGGTGTTGTGGATAACTTGGCTCCCTTGGCACAGATGAACATCTCCAAACAAAAATACCGTAAGCCCTCCCTGTCTCTGTCTCTCCTCTCCTTTCTTCTCGATACCTGGATAAACCATACCTTACATAGTCTACATCGTCCGCACAGCACAGTGCGAGTACAAACTCTAGACATTAGCTACCCCAAAAATTTATCTCGCCTTACTGCAGAAGCGTTTACAATGAAAACCTGCTCGGTGGTTCCCTATAATCTGCCCGAGCTTCGGTCGAATAGATTGGGTCAGCTGCGGGGGATTATGGAGGGGTGGTTGTTTTGATTGGAGGTAGCGTGCCTGTCTGAGGTTCGGTTCGTCGTAGTCTTAAGTGGTATTGGGATAAAGCTGGTATAAACAATAAATACCGGACCTATGGATGACACTCGCCGGGACACCCACTCGAACCCCGAGATGTCAATAACCCCGTCCCCGGCACCCCCCCAACACGGGCGCCCCCGCCCAGGTGGACATTGTAGTAATGTCCCGTGGGGGAGGAGGGGAGGGGGGAAGCAGGCTGCACTGTGCTTCGGTGCCGGCTGCGCGAGCTCAGTGAGCTCCCTACGCACAGGTTGAGTACGATATTATCTACCGAACCATATGATGTGAAGGCGGTCTACTTCCGGGACCACGCATAAAGAGTTTAGCCGCAGCGAATTTTCGTGCCAATACGATCGTCAAGTACCGGTATCTGTAGCCATTGTCACTATACACTCAATATATCACTCGCATCAGGTACAGATAGTTCTCCTTTCCAAAATACTTCCTGCCAATTCCTCCCCAGACCCCCCCCCCCCCGACCTTTTCTAGAGAAGGAGGTATCGTAGGGGAAATCTGCCTTGATGTCTGAGTTGCTTGTATCATAGGCGTACTCGATATGACTCGTAGAATGGCAGGTATGAAATAGAAAGGAGAACTTCACCCTGCGTATTGGTGAGAGTGACTAGGCTATAGGTAGGCACCTAGAGAGAGAGAGAGAGAGGAATAGAAGACACGTCAGGGGACTTGTACTATTGGCAGAGGGATGGGTCTCGGCGGATCCCGGTGGGATGAAGAGTGTCAAGTGCAGGTCATAGACCCTCACTCGATCCCCTTGAAAAAAAAATCCAATTTCCAACCTCAGATTCCGTCCCAAGGTCTTTGTCCTGGCAATTTGCGGTGGTATATAGCTCGTAGCTGAAGCAGTGACAACAAGTATGACAAATAGAACTCCAGAATAATCGTTCGGCAAAGCCTTATTCCCTCCCCCCCCAAAAAAAAGGACACAACTGCGAGGAAGCAGAGTGGCGGCAATCTGTGAAGATCAGGCCAACTTCTCACACATCCGCACATGTTCCACGTATATAGTACGATAGCGCGAATACACACCTCTACAAACTAACCACTAATAAAATCTACCGCACAGAGATACTAAACAAGTATCAAACATTCCCCAAGCTGAAGACGAAACCAAAGGCATCGACAAGGCAACCCGACACAACATTCAAAATGTCACATTCCGTCCGGCGCCCTACCAATCGCGATTGCTAGTGAAGGTATGGTATTATACTCGCACCCTGTCCGTTCCCTTGCGGGTGGTGAACGCGGGCCACAGTTTCTATGGGTAGGGGGCTTGGTTCACCATAAATTCGTCGCGGCCAAGTGTTCTCGAATGAGAATTTGCGATTCGTGTGCAATTGGATTTTACGCCCCTCTTTGCTTCCAATCTTGTCACAATTTCAATGATTTCTTCAAGCTGGGGTGGCTACTCTAGTGGATTTTACAATGTCGAGGGATGCTGGAAGGATTGTGAAGAGCACGCATGCCTATATATCTACTACTATTCGCACATATGAGGTCGGCATACTTTCTACGTGCCCATGTTGAAGGAGGGAATCCGAAGACTTTTTTTTTTTTCAGTGCCACCTAGCTCTGGCGGTATCTTTTCGGCGGCCCATACGACGAGCTCATTGGGACTAGGTTGAATAGGTAGGAAACAAGCATAAAAGCACAGAAACCTATGAGAGCGGTGTTAAAACTAGATAATATAAATTGTTCGTCCAACCAATTTTTTATGATGGCAGGCACAAACACTGGGGCACTCGTTTCATTCACACAATGCACATTTAGGATTAGACATCACTTTAGAATTCTAGAGTATCTAGTTCAATCTACCGGGAGGAGAACATGAACAAAATGTGTTAATTATGTGAAAGCATTACCAGCGAAAAGGAAGTAACACCATTTCAGATGCAACCCCCGCCGACGGTAGAATGTAACCAACCGAGGGGGGGGGGTCGGAGGGGGCATTCTCCTCGGCCAGTCCCCAGTGGATAAAGTACCATAACCTGGCCAGAACCGCCAGGCGCAAGCACGTTGGGATAAGAAGCGGCTGAGGTGAAACTCACAATTGCGTCAAGAACGGATGCCCTAAAGGTTTAGTCCTGGATAAAAAAGGTCGGGATATGGCGTTTTATTGCGATCTCGAGGTAAAGGAAGGATTAAAAAAAACCCCACTTGAACGTTCTGGCGCCTGACGGTTCTCTCCAGATTATAGGGCACCGTACCCCACCTCCAAGAGAAACACCGATGTAGTCCAAGTCCGGCTTCCGCATGCATGGGCTAGGACAGAGTGGGAAGCTTGAGCTCGAGGCCAGCAGCTAGAATTTAGTTTTTCGAGAACTAAGATAGGCTGGCTGGCCGCACATGGGCTATCGTGCTAGCTTGCCAAAGCGAGATTGGGGGGACGCGCTTGTTATGTGTTTGGTCGTCGAGAGTTCCTCGTATACCATTGTGAGTCTCTTGTGGGCCGTTGCTGATGCTTTCCGTGCCATGGCTGGCTTCTTCCCCACAACCCCCAATCTATAACGAAGTCTCAAATATGCGCAGCAAACCAGCTGCTTGTTGAGCATTCATAGAATAAATATTCGGAATCGGGGAGATCTGATCTGCGGCCAGGTGGGGTACTGTAAGCATGAGGCCCGAGTTGAGCAATTAAGTTGCAATCGCAGTGCCGTTGGTCGAGTGAGGAGAGCTGCGGATATCCGTGAGATGCAGGATATCACATAGTAGCTTATAAGTTCAGGATGTGGTCTCATGCTAAGAGCTGGTTAGAGCTCCCGCAGTCAGAAGCAAGGGCCCTGTTGCCCTGGCATAGGCTACAGAACACGGTAGGGCTGCAAACTGCGGTACTAGTATCATATGACACAATGTGCATAGCTATGATACAGATCGATGTGAGCCCACCATACCCCGAAAACCCAGTCCCTTGCCAGTTTACGGAGAAAAAAATTGCCTAATTCGCTTGGAAAACTTGCCTGTACACTAAGGTCATTTTATGAAAATTTCCCGGATCCTCTTTCAATTTTTGTCTTGTTTTGTGAGAAGAAAAAAAAGACCGCTACACTCACGGTATGATAATGTTTGGTGTCATAACTCCGTGGTATGTGGAAAATGGCAGGTTTGCACAAAATGAACACCAGCACCAGCACATCGGTGCTAGTGCGGTAGTATTGAAAAGAGTTTCCCCCCACAAAGTGTCTACCGGTACCGTACTTGTGCGGGTACGGTGCTCCAGCAGTGGCACCACGGGATGAATACTATGATACAGTACAGGTGTGCTGCCGCTCTGAAGAACCTCGAGCATCGCTGGCGACAATAAGTAGCATCACGTGACCAAGTCTCTGGACAGATCCTTCTGAAAATAAACAAAGACGGCATTTAAGCACAAGAAACATATCTTTCTGTGTAGAATACAAATCTGATAGATACAAGATACACAGAAGCATCAATAAAATACATGCCCTTGAAAAACTCGTCTCGCCCGCGTCTGCGATGACCACGTAAATTGATTTGGCAACAACCCGCGTTTTTCCAGCAAGGACGTGCTGCGGCGCTAACCCCAATGGTCCATCCTCCGCCAAGAACTGGCGATGAGCCTCGATTGGTCGTCCCAACAACAGCCTGCCGACAAAGAACCCCCCCAGCCTCACCCTTCTTTCTTTCTCCTACCACCCGCATTCTACAACCAACACTATTTCCACAACAACACCATAGACCTCATCATCTGCTTGTACTTGATGCACTTATTTTTCCTACGATACTAGACAATACGGCAGAGCGAGAAGAGGACAAGGCTAGCGATGTCGAGCCGTCTCACAATCGACCGCTCGGCGGCTAAAGATAGGAGAGGATTTGGCCTTTTTAGCGACGACGAAGACGATGAGGAGATCGAAAGAACGCCCGTCTCGTTCAGTGGGAATAAGAGCGGGTTTCAAGCGTTAAGCCCAGGAGATGTTGGCAGTATGTTTGCAAAATTTTCTTATTTCCGGAGCCACCAGGATGTTGGTGGTTTGTTCATTTTTACTTACAGCAATGATCTAGATTCCAGTCCTGCGGCCTCAACCTCTAGCATGATTTCCCCACTCGCCAGTTCAACCCCAACCAGGGGGTCACGCAATTCTGCCCTGATCACACCTCAGCGACCAAGGTCGGCGCACAGATCTACGCCTTATTCGACCACTACTTCACGGGCCCTGATGCGTGCGAAGATCTCGAAGGATGCCATGATCGATAGGGAAAGCGAGCTCATCAGCACAGAAACTACATACGAGACTACTACTACCTCAGTAAAAAGGTCCAAATACACCATGAGCGGCGCTAGAGGAAACCCGCGGGAAGGTGCGGAGCCTGAGTCAGATGGGCGAGAGGATCAGGAAGAAGCAGAAAGTGATAAGGGGGGGCAAGAATTTTCAATTACCCCGAGCAGAAATATCTTTTCTCGAACCACTACGCCGAGCAAAACTCCGACCAAATCTCCCAAGAGGGAATCGCAAGTTCCCGAGATGGGTAAGAAGACATGGGGACAATGGCTTGGCGCCATTCTTCCGGCTAGTGTTAAGAAGCCAGTCAAGGCGATTTTAGGTGATCCAGCAGAGTTCAGGTCTAACGAGCAGGAGGCACAGACTCCTAGGAAGGAGGCTCCTGCCCAAGATTATGACTTTGAGGATAACGAGGTGCTATCTCTCCCAGGAAGCTTTGGGAAGGCACCTCCATCGCCCGTGCGCACCCCGTCTCAGCCACCATCTAAGCGGGAACAGAGGAAAGTGGAGATTTGCTACGAAACTCCAAGTCGTGAAGGATTGTTTGCGTACCAAAAACCAAGGGTAGCGGTTGCTCCTCGTACTCTACCTCCTCCTTCGAGAAGGATCATTCCAACATTGGCAGTCTCCAGCAAGACACCCGGAAGATCAGCCTCCCCCACTGTCACCCCAAGCAGTAGTTTGCATAGACCCAGTAATTTTATCGAACGCATGAAGTCTGCAAAGAGGACTAATCGTTATGATCCCTACTCGAGGCCAAAGGGGACAAGTTCTCGCGGGAAGAGGAGAAGCTCCGAGCTCAGTGAGCCTAAGGAACTCACTGCAGAGGAGGAATTGGAGCTTTTGAAGAGGAGAGAAAAAGAGAGAAAAGTGCAGGAAGCCGAAGACCGATACCTCAAACGGGAGATTCGGAGGAAACTCGGGCAGGAGGACCCAGAACAGGATGGCGACGGTGATTCGGAGATGTCTGACACCGATACTTCATTCCAACAGCCCAGTGTGGAGGAAGTGCCTGATGAAGGCGAGCCCCCGATAGTAGCCCCACCCGCCCCACCCGCATCCAATTCTCCCATTAGGCAATCCATTCCCACCCCCTCTACCCCACCAACCGGTCCAGCACCTACCTTCCTCTTCGGCAACCTTTCCCCGTCACCCACCACTCCCACAGCTACCCCTGCTGCCCCAGAACCAGCAACGGCCCCAACAACATGGTCTTTCTCCTCCGACTCGGACAAGGAAAACATCTCCTCGGGTCCCCCACCCCCACCAACAATGTCCCACGCCCAGCTCCCTACCCCTTTAACCACCTCCAGCCACCCCCCCTCCATCGCCGGTGGGCTCCTAGGCACGTCCCCCCAACCAGCTGGCGGCTTCGGCCTCGGCCTGCCTAAGGAATCCACCCCGCTGAACCGCCAACGCAGCGCTGCCGAGAAATTCAAACCACACATCAGTAGCGGTCTCCGTGAGAGCAGCACTGTGGACGAAGAGAAGGAGAACGAGAATGACATTGAGAACAAGAAACCTTCCTTGGGGTATGATAAGGAGAATGCATCCTCCTCATCTAGTGGTAAGCTCGGCGGGCCGAGTAGCGGCGGCGTAGGAGGAGGAGGATTGGCCATGCAGAGTGTTTTCAAACCATCCGGCGCACTAAAAGAGAACTCTGGCGTGTTGAATCTTGGAAAGAGCGATGTGAAGGTTGACCTTAGAGCTAAGATTGACACTGTTTGTTCCCCTCTTTCGACCTTCTATTTATTTCTTAGTGTAGATGGCTAACCCGATATGATAGATCCCACACAGGCAATTAGAGTGCACAGTCGCTTGGCCATCCCTCAACCAGCCCTTTGGTGGCAAAGATGTTCGCACAGCGGTCGAGAGTATGTTTAATACTGCGGCTATGAGTGAATTCCCTCAGGGGCTCGACGGGGAGATGTTTGGACTTGCGGTGCATGTTGGTATTTGATTTAGTTTGTCCCGAGAGTTGGTAATGATAGAAAAGCTACGGGGGGTTTTAACCTTTTTTTTGTTATTGTGCCCCGCTCCTTTGGGCGTTCCCTTCATTCTTTTTTCATTCTTTTCCTTTTTCTCCCCTTTGCGTTTGATGCAGCAACTTGTTCCATTTTTTGCTTTTTCTTTTCTACTTTACTCTTTCCGCTGTCTTGTCGTTGACCGAGAAATGAAATGAGACTAAGATAAAGGATAAATTGACTTGGGAGGAACGGGAATACCCCTTGGTTTGTGTTTTCCTTGTTTATTTATTTTTTCCTTTTCATTTATTTCTTATTTCTTTCCTATTTTTACCTACCACTATCATGTCCCTCCGATATCCACGCGTGATGACAGTAATTTAGCCAATTTAGGTATGCGATACACAATGCAAGTCGCGATATGCAGTATACCCCTTACCATTTTTTTAATATATGTATTGATTGATTGATTGATTGGACGGCCCAACACGATTCCCGCTCCGAAAGAGATGGATCGTGAATATCATACCTTATCACTCGGAGATACTACCAATTTATCTCGTATTTTTTTTTATCGTGATATCGATATTAGTTGTAGTGCTGTACAAGTTCCGTGTTACACTATAATAACTTGCTATACTAGTAGTGATAGTGGTGCGTCGGCGTGAGTATTTAATTCCACACAACTTATGAGAGTCATGGTATCATACCGGTATTTGGTATGGTACGATGTGGTAAGGTATGGGTCGAGTGATAATCCGTAGAGTATTGGTGATACCGAACCGGGGGAGAAGGTGGTCTGTCACGTGGGTTAGTCTAATTTTGATAACTTGTCCTCGCAGGCATTGCAACTGCCATATCATACCCACACTATTTCTGTCGATCCGCCCTGCTGCCGTATCCTTCCTTCCCTCCTCCATACTGTATGTCCACATCACCGTGCCGACTATATACCAATGCGAAGCTGCGGGAAAACCACAAAACAGGACCGCAGATATCAAATACGCGGATCATGCTATACTCTTAATGTAAATCAGAAAACCCACCATATTCAGAGTATCATACAAACACCACACACCAAAGACCAATGAAAAAAGCACAATCACCCACCATCCGATAATAGAAAGTCTAAGTTTATGAATATACTATTCATACAGGATTTATCTTCTCATACCATGCTAGGATGAAATAAAAACGTATGGCAAATCAACCACAATATTGGAGGTGAAAAGGGGGGAAAAGGAAGAAGAAAAGAGGGAGAGAGAGAGGAAGGAGGGGTTTAAGAAGAATGAAGAGTGAAATAAACCATTATGCTAACAAGTGCGAGTTGTGTAAGCTAACTCATATCCATGATAAGGAAATAAAAATAAAAAAGTGAAGAAAATGAACGAATAGAAGGATCGAGGAGGTGATCAGGGCCAAGTGATAAAGTGGCATAGGAAAAGAGCTAGCATACGAAGAGTGAAAAAGAGTAAAGAGTAAAAAATATAAAAAAAGACCCACCAACTCCATCCCGTGCCCAACTCCAACCGTTCTGTTTCATGCTGCTCTCCACTCTCGCAGCCTATCACCAACGCCACTGAGAATAAATCTACCCGAAAACCTTCAAAAAGCCCCAAACGCCTACAGCGCTCAGCACCGGTATGACAACGTTATCGTCCAAGCCAAAGACATCCATGGCCTCAGAAACGCTTGCAATCACACCCGTGACAACGCTCATCAGTGCAAGCCCCCATCCCCCGTCAACCTGTTCGTCTCCTAGCCCCAGCACCTGCAGACCCAGTCTCCCAGCCCACATTTTCCCGTCGACCGGATCATCCCAGAAGGAGCGTGTTCCGGGTACTATGACGCCCCAGAAGGCGGCTGCGGTGATGGCGCCGACTACGAAGCTCGCTAGACTTCCCGCCAGACTCTTGCCCCGACGGATCCGTGGTGTGTAGCGTCCCCATGCGCGGCCGAAGGTGCTAGCTGCTGTGTCACACCACGATAATAGGAGGATGCTGAGTGTAGCTACGTCCTTCGGAAATACACTCAGTACGGTTATTGTGCCGACAAGGTACCAGACAACACCGTTCCACCCTGTGACTTCACTCTCGCGCATGAGGGCGCCGAGAAGGCGGATGTAGAGTTGATTGAAAGACGGCGAGTAGAAGCGTAGTAGGTCCGCACTCGCGATCGGGATTAAGGCTGCAGTTAAGGGTGGAGTGATATGTACTGGTTGATGTCCGGTTCGGTAAAGGTGTAAGACTACGAAGCCAATAGAAACGTGCAGGAGTTTACGGGGAACTTCATGTTTGTGGATCTACGTATGTCTCCATATTAGCACGTGAGATCCTGGTCCCCTCCCCGTAGGGGAACGAAAAAAACGAGGGGGAAGACTCACGAGTGAGGAGAAAGTTCTGTGTATCGGAATAAGCCCCAACGGCGACGGCGAACGTGATAGGTTGCGCCATATAGACGAGGGGGGTGGGGGAGCCAAGTGGTTCCCACTAAGGACTCGGGAAAGAGCTGGAGGCGGGGGCTTGCGACTTCTCGGAGAGCGTTCCCGGTCCGCCCTTTTTTCCTCCTCCTCCTCCATCTCCTCCTCCACCAGCCCCCGCTCAGGAGAGTGCGAGTCAGTGCTGGTATCGCTAGTATAAGCGTCGTCATCTTCATCCCCGTTCCCGTCCATGGGGGCAATATCGGGGAGGGAGGTGGAAGAAGAGCTCGGTGAAGGTGAAAGTGTCGATTGTGGCGTCATTATGAATTGCGATAAGGGTGGTGATGGTGATGATGGAGTGGTAGTGGGTAAAAGTTTGAAAGGAGTAAGTTGAGTTGAGTAAGAAAAAAAGACCAAACCCAGCCTCACGTCACAACAGGATAACAACTGCGCGGGAAAACGGGTTTTCTCAGCACTTTTTTCTTCCTCCACTTAGGGATCATTAGGCTCCGGTTGGTTGGGTTACCAATGGCATAATCCAGGTCATGCAGGGAGCTTTTGCTGGCAGATGCGAGTTGATGATTGTGAGACTTTTGATGGGATAGGGTTTAGGGCAAACAGAAATTTGGCCGATAGACTAGTAAAATTTTTAGCCGACGCGAACGAAAAGATTTGGCTGACAGAGAGCCACCTCCTGCCCTGGCTTGCCTATAAAAGAGAGACATTCTCTTCCTTCAAACCCATTCCTTCTCCTATCCTCGTGGCAAACATTTCTTCTTCCATGCTCTTTCTTTTTATTCCTTAGGCCCTGTTCGGCGGGAACGGAACCGTTCCGTTCCCCATACAAATGACCATTTTCTTCCGTTCTGAAGATGCCAAGACAACCATTTCCCCAGCAAAAAATCATCAACGAACGGAACGGTGGACCCGCCTACCGTTCCTGCCGAATATTTTTCTTGAAATATTGCTAGAAAGAATTATTTTTTATAAGTTTTCAACTATCTTTTCCCAAGCAATACTCCCTTCTGCCTGGCGATGTACTGCGCTACTATTAGCATTTTCTGCACTCCCTATACCCTACTTCTATCCACCTCCTTTCACCCCTATCCTGCAGACTTCAGCTCTGATTCAAGCAGAATTTGAGAGAATAGACAATGCTTGCCCTTTACCTATGGAATATAGTATTGTGGATACTATCAGAACTGAGAAGAGTGACAGTTGTAGTATGATTCTACACATTTATCACCAGGCCTACATTCAATCTATCATCTTTAAAGTCTTCCTGGTTCTTCATATATGTAGACAGGTTTTTTTTGTTTGCTTTGGAAAAGTGTATCCAATACACTATTACCTATTTTGTTCACTGTATGCTTCACTGCTTTCCTGAATTCAAGGAGAAATATAGTTTTGGTATCTACTCTTTTTATACTGGTCTGGAATGGTTAGGAGTAGTAGTTTTAAGGTCTCATGTCAATCTTGAAGATGTTTTTATAATCTTGGTTCAAAGTAACTTGTTTGGACTCCTCTGTTTGGATCTGCTTCCCTCTAAGATAAACAATATCTGAGGCTTTTACTCTAACTCAGAAGAGTATCTCAGTTCCTTAATAAAAAGTTCTGTATTGGAAATAATTTTGCTACAGAGTATTTCCTGTATGGGATTAGAGGAGGTTATATAGTAGGATTTTGAGAAAAGATTTTTACCAATTACAGCTATTGGAGAAGAAGTAATTTGTTAAACCTCATAGTTTTTCTGGGCATATATTAATATTTGATTTTCCCTCTCTACTCCCTTTGATTGTAATTGTATTTTTGCTATTGAATTTTTTTTCATTTTCTTTCCTGTATTTTTCTTTCGTTTTGTTTTTTATATACTTTTTGTATCTGCTTTAATTTTGTATATTCTTTCTCCACCTTTTGTTCTTAGTATTTAGTTTATTCCTCTTTCTCCTTATGATTATATATTTTCTTTTTAATTTACTATAAGGGGTTTTTGTTATTAGTATTCTTACAGAACAATCTATGAGCTGTTATTATATAATTCACTCTAGAGTGAATCACTAAGTTGCCTATATGAGTATAGTGTACAGATTTCTCTTTCAGGGAAATTTGCAAGTAGGGATTCTTACAAGATACATTAAGGCCATTCTTGCTTTCTGGTATTCTATAACAGAGTTTTCTTTTTGCTTATCTCAACTGTATATTTTTATATCAGGTATATCTAGGTAGGTTATAATAGAAAGACTTATATAATATTTAATTAAATAATAGTATGCAGAATAGAATGATAGTAATCCAACTCATTTCTTTACTATCTAAGATTAGGATTCTACTCCATTATCTTCTATAGTATCTAGTTATTTAAAATAATATTTATTATAATTAGTTTATTAAGGTATGTTAATAATATTTAATTAAGTGATTATAGGCAGAATAGAAAGATAGAGATCCAACTTATTCTTTTGCAATCTAAGGTTAGGATCCCAGTCCATTCCCTTCCATAATACCTAGTTATTTAAAATGATATTTATTATAATTAATTTGTAAAGGTATATTGATAATATTTGATTAAATAATTGTAGGTAGGATAGAAAGGTAGAGATCTAATTTATTCTTTTGTTATCTAAGATTAGAATTATAATCTAATACCTTTCTTAGTATCTTATTATTAATAATTATATTTATTTTAAGTAATTGACCTAGATATACAATTATGTAACGGGGGCTCCCTCAGGTAGATAGTTCCTAAGGATGCGACCGTACCAAACTTGGAATTTCTCGAACACAGCTCTTGCAAAAGTGTAAAGAATAAAAGTAAATAGTAAAACTTTATATCGTTAAGCTCTGGCTTATCTTAATTGAAGTCTCTTGAGAGGATGTTGATTCTGTCGGGGTAGGAGAGTTTTCGTATAATCTTTAGTAAGTAGTTAGACTTATACCAAAAACTCACGCATCAGGTTACCCTGACTGATACGAGCATACCCTTCTCTGTAAGAGTTGCTAGCACCACTACCGTGTCCCCGCAGGGTCTAAGGTGTCAGCCCACTCTAGCAGAAACCTCCTATATGCACATCAGTTCATGCGAGGTATTTACCAATAGACCTACAGGAGTGAAAACCTTTGCGCATCGGTCCCTTGCCAGTGGATAACTATCAAGCCACCTAGGAAAGCTGACTAAATGACTCTCTTCCCATGTGCTATAACCTATGCAAGCACTTGGAGATATTAGCTGCCAGTGTCTTCTGACTAAGTTCTATCTATCTTGACTACGAACTTAAAGGGTCTACGATGCTCCCATAGAGAGCTGTGGTAGCAGCAGGACCCGTGGGCCCTACCCATAGTTCCTTACCTCCAACACACCACTCACTGCAATAAGTATCATGCTATTAGAGTCTTCAAACAACCCACGAAGAGCCTATGGCAAAGGGGCACATGTAGGCTTGATTGGCATAAAACCTTTCCAGATGTCTCCAGCACTACCTGGGACTACTCTGGGAACTCTTCCGGATAGCTCATGCTAACTCCATCAGTTTTGGTCTGTTTTACTCTGTTCTTGTCGGAGAAGGTACCTGACCTTCTCACCTTGACTCTCTCATATATCCTGTGAACAGCTTCCAGTCAGACGGATGGCAGCGATGTATACAGTGTTATGGACAAGTCTTTATAGACTACATTTAACTTGTATGACAGCAACTCCAACCATTTTGACCCATGACACTCGGGGCGAACCCTGAGGCTGCAGGTACCTCTTAGGATTGATTCTGCCAAGTTACAGCATGTTTGGAGCACTCTAGCTCCGCCTGTAGTTGTCCGATCAATATGCAAGCTAGTGTCTGTCGATCGTTATTGCGTAACAAATAATCATAACATTTCATGGAATCTTTCTGAGAATGTTTCTGATAGAAGGTAGGGTAGTAGTGTCTCAAAGAAAGGGTAAGTATGTCCATGGTGATACGAAACTGGTCTCCATAGTAGGGTAACATGACTCTCCTAGACAGGATGAACTCACCTAGCCTTCCGACCAAACCTTAGGCCAGAGTGGACATAGTCATATTACTTCCGCTACTTAGGTACACCTATTCCTTAAGTACCTTCTGTTCTTTGGGATATCTAGACCATCAGATATACCTCGGGCATGTGCCAACATACCTACCTAGTCTACCATCTTACCTCAGGGTCTTAATGTATAGGCATAGACTTAGGTTGCCATAGCTCTATAACGTAGGATCGTTACAAATTATTCTTTATTTTTCTATAGGCGCTGGCAGAATAAAATCCAATTAATTCAAATTAATTTCTTAAAACCTAAGTTTGAAAGTTAGATTTACTCATACTAAGGTTATTGCTAAGTGTTACAATACCTGCCAGTGGTTACTCGCTGGCTCACAACCTGGGTACTTCTCCAAAGTGCCTACCAGCTTAATATCACTTGACAGCTTAATATGACTTGTGGCTTTATATAATTTGTTATGGCTTAACACAACTTTTTATGTGGCTCAACACAGTTTTTTGTAGCTAAATATAACTTTTTTGTGGCTCAATACAACTTTTTTTTAGAACTTAATATTACTAGTAATTTGTTTGTAGTTTAATAGGTTTTATTTACAATATTAAGCTATAAAGATCTATTCAAGTTTTATAACAAAGTTCTTGGAAGCTATGAAGTTCTATTAAGCTAAAGAATTCTGCTATACTTTAAAGTAATATTTTGCTATAAGACTATATCTAGCTATCTAGCTTTCTTACCATACTATAATATTGTATAAAGCTTTGAAATTATATTAATCTACCAGTATTTGATTATTCAGAACTATAAGGTTATATATAGTTATAAAGTTTCTTGAAGCTTTAAAGTTATATTATGTCTTAAAGTAATATATAGTCACAATTTTGAGCTATAAAAAAGTTGTATTAAGCTACAAAAAATTATATTGAGCTACAAGTCATGTTGAGCTGTTAAGTTATACTAAGCTGATAGGTACCTTAAAGGAGTCTCCAGGTTGCAAGCCAGTATGTAACCAGGGGTTATAATACTTAGTTACAATCTTGGCATAAGTAATATAACTTACTAGGGACTGTTACAGCATCACAATATAACACTGTCTCAGATTGGTTAGTAAGCTATTATATTCTTATAAATTGACATTTCCTAATCTTAACTTTTAGGGTATTGCAAAACTAGACTTGTCTGCAGGATTTTCATATTACTTGTTACAAACTGCCAGTATAGTGAAGCAAGGCAGATTTTACATAGCTCCAGATTCTGAGCTATAGGTATATTAGAATTTCATGATACATACTAGTACACCACTGGCATAGGTTATTATGTTTACCTGTTTGTGACTCACAGTTGTAAGTTACATAAGATTATGATTTTCGCACATGACTTAAGTTATAAGTCATGGGTTTTACTCAGGTAACATGAGTTGCATAACAGATTTAATTATTGAGTTTTAATTGATTTAAGGTATATTGTGTTGAATTTTCTAATTCGTTTCATATGTATATTCTCCTTGATAATATCGTATATTCCTCTACTTAGTATTATTTCTAGTTCACGGACATTACTACAGCAGAGTATGTATTACGTATATTTCATTGATATTTCATGATACGATTAGGGGATTATGGCGTGCTTTTCTTATCTGGTGTTCGGGTTTATTTCTTACATTTTATGCATCATCATGCACGGTCATCGGTCATTTGATTTACAATTATGTTTTAATTATCTGTTCACAC